TGCGGCTAAATATGCTAGCAGATGCGGCTAAATATGCTAGCAGATGCAGCTAAATATGCTAGCAGATGCAGCTAAATATGCTAGCAGATGCGGCTAAATATGCTAGCAGATGCGGCTAAATATGCTAGCAGATGCGGCTAAATATGCTAGCAGATGCGGCTAAATATGCTAGCAGATGCAGCTAAATATGCTAGCAGATGCGGCTAAATATGCTAGCAGATGTAGCTAAATATGCTAGCAGATGCAGCTAAATATGCTAGCAGATGTACTCTGCAGCCACTTCTTCAACTCGTCCTGAGCAGGCCAGCGGTATGATCATATTGTCCTGTTTGAGCTCTGCCAGGTGGTGTTCCTACAAAAATTAAATCCACAATGCTCGGAGCAACTACATTAGCTCATACTGTTCACACAAACGTCAGTAGCAAAGTAGCGTCCATAATTTCCTGTAAATGGGGGTGGAATAAGGTGGATAGATATAAATTCATAGGACGTTCCTAAATTTGGAGGAGAAGCTGCTAAAACGTCTCCTGAAAAGGTCTGAAGAGAAGAAAAATGTCATGAATAACGAGAAATGGCTGCAAACAGGAAGTTCAGCTCTGAAGCCGTGATGCGTTCAGGGTTCAACTCACCGCACATGATCCCCAGAGCGGTGCTGAACACGGCCATGTAGCCGAAGTAGAAGGACGTCTGAAACAAGCCGTACATCCTGAAACACACAACGAGCGCGTCAGAGCCTTCACGGGTTTGTTTTAACGATTCTCGGGGGAGACGAGACGACTCACTTGGTTTTGAAGAAGTAGTAGTAAAAGGAGTACATGTAAACATAAACCGCCGTGGACGCAGCAGACAGGAAGCTCGTCCACTGCCTGGAAAACAAAAACTGTATTCAGCTCAAACCGGTCGACGAGCTCCGAGGTCAGCGGCGGACAGGAAGCCTCACCATCTGTAGTCTTCGGCGTTGAGCAGGAAGTACGTGCACACGATGGTGACGCACACAGTGACGATGCACAGGATGACCAGGACCAGCATCATGAAGCCGTACACGTAGTAGATCTTGTAGGCCCAGAAGGACGTGAAGATGAAGTACCTGAGGAACCATCAGAAGGTCTGAGCTCACGTCTCCAACATCTAAACCACCGTCACATGAAAACACAGGACTCACATCTCGATGAAGATGGACCCGAACGGTAGGATTCCTCCCAGACACACGATGACCGCCGGCTCCATGAACCTGAGAGCAGAAAGACTTCTTTAGAAACAAAAACCAGCCGGGGACAAGAGCTTCAGCCCCGAAGAGCTTCAGCTGGTCTGGAGACCTGGAACTGAAACAGATGAACGGACCGGACCAACATTTACAACATCATAATTATTTATATTGAGCATTTATCACGAACATTACGATGCTGAACGGAGAAAACTGGGTCCGTCTCCATGATCCTGGTCCATCAGATCTGTCTCCATGATCCTGGTCCATCAGGTCTGTCTCCATGATCCTGGTCCATCAGGTCTGTCTCCATGATCCTGGTCCATCAGGTCCGTCTCCATGATCCTGGTCCATCAGATCTGTCTCCATGATCCTGGTCCATCAGGTCCGTCTCCATGATCCTGGTCCATCAGGCCTCTTCAGGTTTGACTGTCCTGCTCGTGTCCAACAATCTTTAAATCAAACTAGAGACCGTCAGCTGGACTGAGGCCTGAACTTGAACTGCACCAGTCCAGGACCTCTACCTGGTCCTCCTTAAACCAGTGGAGTGTCTTTAGGATCCTTATCCTGCTGGAAGGTGGACCTCAGTCCCAGATCTCTGAAAGACACTATAGGGGTTATCTTGATAGTTTTAAGCTCGGACCAGTCCCTGCTGAGACCATCCCCACACCATGATGCTGCCGCCACCATGCTTCGCTGCAGGGATGGAGTTCTCTGTACAATGGAGGTTGGAGATAATGGGGTCTTGGCCCATAAGGTTCAGTTTTAATCTCAGCTGACCCACAGAATCTTCTTCCACATTTTGGAGGTGAAGCCTGCTGCTCCTCCATGAAGTCCAGCTCTGCGCAGCCTCTAGTGGTCCTCTGGACAGGTCCTCCATCAGGGTGGTCTTGTGGATGCCTCTGATTTCCTCCTGACCTGCTCAGCAGGTTTTTGTGGACGACCCGATCCTGGCAGGTTTGCTGTGATGACATTTTTTTTATCTCCTGACAATGGATTTAATGGAGCTCTGTGGGACCTTCAGGGTTCTGGAAGGTGACCTGTGCAAAGAGTTCCTTGGTCTTCATGATGTCTCGTGCTTGGTGGTAACTTGAACTACAGGTGCTGGTCATAAAATTAGAACATGATGAAAAAGTTGACTTATTTCAGTAATTCCATTCAAAAAGTGAAACTTGTAAATTATATTCATTCATTACACAAAGACTGATATATTTCAAATGTTTATTTATTTTAATGTTGATGATTAGAACTGACAACGAATGAAAACCCCAAATTCAGTATCTCAGAAAATTAGAATATAGACCAATAAAAAAGGATTTTTAGAAATGATGGCCAACTGAAAAGTACGAGCATGTTCAGCATCAAAACTTAGTTGCTGCTCCTTTTGTCTGGATCACTGCATCAATGCGTCGTGTCATGGAGTGGATCAGTCTGGGGCTCTGCTCAGGTGTTCTGAGAGTCCAGGTTGCTCTGATCGTGGCCTTCAGCTCTTCTGAATGTTGGCTCTGGTGTATCACATCTTCCTCTCCATAGATGTTCTATGTGGTTAAGGTCAGGAGAGTTTGCTGGCCCATTAAGAACATGGACACTATGTCTAAAAAAGTTAAATCTGGTCCTCTGGACATTCAGAAAAACAAAACAAAGCAAATCAATAAAAAAATGTAGAAACGTTTCGTCTCTCATCCGAGAGACTTCCTCAGTCTGAGGTGCTGTATTCAGCTCAGTCTCTTAAATAGCACCTTCTCAGAGTGGATCAACCAGTTTGCTGCTGACAACCAGAACCAGCTGATCACATGCTCAAGAAGGACCATCAGCCTAACAATGGATCATTAGCACCTGATGGCTGTTTACTGTTCACAGAGGGCTGAGTGATACTAGCAATCACAGCATTGTAAGAGGGGGACAGTTGAACCTGGAGGCTCCGCCCCTGTTTAATGATGGACGATTTATTTTCACAAAGATGGCCTCCTTTACTCCTCTCTCAAACCATCGTTCCTCTCTGTCCAGGATGTGAACATCTTCATCCCTGAAAGAGTGACCTCTGACCTGGAGATGAGTGTAGACCTCAGAGTCCTGGCCTGATGATGTTGATCTTCTGTGCTGGGCCATCCTTTTGGCCAGTGGCTGTTTAGTTTCCCCGATGTAAGACTGATCACCCTCCTGACACTGAACAGCATACACAACATTACTCTGTTTGTGCCGGGGGACTGGATCTTTGGGATGAACCAGTCTTTAATGTATTTTGGGGTTTAAAAGCCACTGGGACGTTATGTTTAGAAAATAAACATCTCAGTTTCTCTGATACTCCCTCAACATATGGAATGACCACTGGTCTGGGTCTGGGTTCCTCCTTTTCACCTGATGGCTGACTGGAGTCCTGTTTGGGTTTCTTCTTTCAGGAAGGCCCAGTTAGGATATCCACATTGCTCTAGAGCCTGTCTTGTGTGGGATTTCTCCTTCTGCCTGGCTCCTGAGCTAGTGGGGAGCATGCATCAGGATATGGACACCATGGTCCTTAAACCAGGTACTGGTATCTGGTACTGGTATCAACAGGTGCCAAGTCCTGTTGGGAAATGAAATCTGCATCTCCATAAAGTTGATCAGCAGCAGGAAACATGAAGTCTCTAAAACCTCCTGGTAGATGCTGCGTTGACTTTTGACCTCAGAAAACACAGTGGACCAACACCAGCAGATGACATGGCCCCAAACCATCACTGACTGTGGAAATTTGCCACTGGACCTCAAGCAACATGGAATCTGGGCCTCTCCTCTTCCTCCAGACTCTGGGACCTGGATTTCCAAAGGAAATGTAACTTTTACTTTCATCAGAGAACATACGTTTGGACCACTCAGCAGCAGTCCCAGGCGAGACGCTTCTGACGCTGTCTCTTGTTCAAGAGTAGCTTGACACAAGGAATGTGACAGCTGAAACCCATGTCTTGCATACGCCTGAGCGTGGTGGTTCTTGAAGCACTGACTCCAGCTGCAGTCCACTCTTTGTGAATCTCCCCCACATTTTGGAATGGGTTTTGTTTCACCATCCTCTCCAGGGTGTGGTTACACCTGTTGCTTGTACACTTTTCTCTACCACATTGTTTCCTTTCCTTCACCTCTCTATTAATCTGCTTGGACACAGAGCTCTATGAACAGCCAGCCTCTTTAGCAATGACCTTTAGTGTCTTGTCCTCCTTGTGCAAGGTGTCAATGGTCGTCTTTTGGACAACTGTCAAGTCAGCAGTCTCCCCCATCATTGTATAGCTACAGAACTAGACAGAGACCATTTAAAGGCCTTTTCAGGTGTTTCGAGTTAATCAGCTGATCAGAGTGTGACACCAGGTGTCTTCAATATTGAACCTGTTCACAGTATTCTAATTTTCTGAGATGCTGAATGTGGTGTTTTCATTAGTTGTCAGTTATAATCATCAACATTAAAATAAATAAACATTTGAAACATATCAGTTTGTGTGTAATGAATGAATATACAAGTTTCACTTTTTGAATGGAATTACTGAAATAAATCAACTTTTTCATGATATTCTAATTTTAAGACCAGCACTTGTATTTAGAGGTGTTGGTTCTGCCAGAACCGGTGAACTTACTGAATTATGTGGGTTCTGTAGAAGCAAAGGGGGTGAAATCATTCGCACACATCGGTGTCCAGTTTTATATAAATAAACCTTTACACCATTTAACCTTTGCTGACCTTCATTAACCTTCATTAATCCATTTTACTTGGTCTAGTTTAATCTCATGTAGATCTGGTTGCTCCCCCACACCTACCATTTCTTCTCGGGGATGGGCCGCGGCACGGCGTTCACCCGGCAGGGGAAGTTGGGCTGGCCGGACAGATTCCTGCCCAGAATGGTTCCCACCAGGTTGAGGGGCAGAATGACGAAGAAGCAGATGCAGCAGACGGCGACCTGCGGAGACAAGAGTTGTTTTCAGCTGTCTGCTCAGAGTCGAGGCGCTTCGTTGGCGTGACTTTAATAACTGATGGTTCAGGTTTGACCAGAAAGAAACAACATCCCAGATCTTTATTGTCAGAAGGTCTGTGGAACAACTAGGTTTGACATTAAATGTCATCTTTAGACGTCCAACTGAACCCTGGTTAGACCTTCGACTGACGTTTGACCTTCCAGTTGAGTCGAGTGGTTAATGTGGCGAAACACTGATGCCAATAATCAGATTTATTGTTCCATATTTTCCTAACAGAGCACTTTGCTCTCAGACTGCAGGTTTACTTGTGGTTCCTAGAGTTTCCAAAAGCAAAATGGGAGGAAGATCTTTCAGTTCTCAGGCTCCTCTCTTGTGGAACCAACTTCCAGTTTCTGTCCACGAGGCTGACACATTGTCCAGTTTTAAGACTTTCCTTTTTTATAAATCCTATAGTTAGGGTCAGCTTGGGTTTCCTGAGATGTCCCCTAGTTTTGCCGCTACAGGCTTAGACTTCGGGAGGACAAACTGACCACATCTCCTCTCTGCTGCCGTCTTTACTTACTCTACCTGTTTGTAATCATTTCTATCTTAACATGTTTTGACATTCCTCCTATAGAAAGTTCATCTGGACTATAGAAACCACACCTGGACTATAGAAAGTTCACCTGGACTATAGAAACCTGGACTATAGAAACCTGGACTATAGAAACCTGGACTATAGAAACCTGGACCTGTCGTTCTGTGTCTGTTTCTACTTCCTGTCCTCTCAAACCAGCCGGCCGAAGCAGCTGGACGCTCGTCCTGCATCTGGTTCTGCCACCATCAGTTTTATTTGAGCAGAACCACAGATGAGCTCCAGAACCGGTACCCGCTCCTCTGCACTGACCCGTCAGGTACACCAGAATCTTAAACTAACAAAGACCAGATCCACCCGAGGTCTTCGTCCCAGAACTGGACCTGAATAAACCCGGTCAGGAACCAATCGTTGCTCAACGGCTCATTCATCTTTGATTCAAAGCACCATCATTGCATCATGTTCGGTCTGAATTATTAGGATTAGGATTTAATCTAATTTACAGCCCGTTATGATTCACATTAAAATCTACATGAATTATGCCTTCTGTGAGGACTGTTGCATGCTGGGAGTTGTTTTTGCAGATAAAACTACAACACCCAGAATGAAAGACGTCTGAGCGAGGGCTGAATGCTTGAAGACTTGTGCTTGTCTACATTTCTGACCAACAACGTTTTCACCCCAACAGACGGATGCGGTGAATTCTGGTCCTGACCCTGAAGCACCGGATGGACCAGGAACTTCAGGTACAGACGCCTGTGCTCATGCTAACTGTGCTAGCTCAGGAAGTTTGTATTTGATCGTCATCAGTTCGGTGGATCAGTGTGGAGGGAAACGCAAGACGCAGCTCACCTGTAACCGTAGCTTCCACTTTGTAGTACTTTCAAAATAAAACTACAATTACAGAAACGGACACGCACCCAGTTTGGAAATGAGTCGTCGTGTTGGGATACAGTTTGGTACTTTTACAAGAAATGAGACAAACATTCAGATGAATTCTACAGATTCGTACATTTCAACAATCATTTTAAAATGACGTTCCAGCCGGACGGCCGCAAGTCGTTCCACAGAACCGGACTTCCTTCACCGCCAAGTCTGGAAACAGAAAATGGAGCCACCTGTGGACCAACAGGTTCAGAACTCTCTAAATGTTGTGAAAAGTGTTTTTTACGGTTCACCTTTCCTCGCTGTGCTTCAGATGAAGCAACAGATAAATGTAAGAATGTTCATCAAACGTTCTGTTGGCTTCAATACTTCAGCCCCCCAGGAGGAACTGCAGCTCACCACAAACCCATGAACTACAAGCCGTCGCTCCGTCATAACAACGAAGGTAAAACTCACCATGGTGCCGAACGGGATGGCTCTGGAGGCGTGGTAGTAGATGGCGATGAAGTTGATGAAGAAAGCGGTTCCGCACACCATCGACGGGATCAAGAAGGCCCCGATGAACATCTGTTTAATCCACCTTCTGCCTGCATGTTCAAATTAAATCACGTGAGTTTTCACGGCTTTGCAGACAAACTGGCGAACCATGGATGTTGGTTACCTCCTTGTTTTGCATATAAGCTTCCCCCGAAGTAGCCGTTGACGGGAGAGGTCGCAGCGTAAACAAAGATGGCCGTGCTCAGCATGGAGCCCCTCCTGCAAACCACAGAAAATGTTTGAATTTCACTTCGAATGGTCGTTCTAACATTTCTTTAGGCTTCTGATCATTTCTGTAGGACTTCCAATAAAACATTTAACCTCTCTTTCCTTTAAGACCAGACATCTTTACACAGTCGAGTTAAAAACGAGCCAATTCTAAAATAAAATCATTTGTTTTATTTTTAAAAAACGCACGCACCCGATTGAGACACAAGATGCATCCTTCACGTTTTCAGCTGGAGTGTTTTTACTGACGACAACCCGCTCCTAAAAAAACTAAACTACTAAACTACGAGTCTCAGCGTGGTTCTGCCATGGTAGTTTATTTTGAAAGGGTTACAAAGTGGAAACTAGAGAAAGGTCATTTCCTGTGAAACTGCAGCGCGAATGATTTTAGCTACAAGCTGCTGAAAAACGAGAGAAACGCAGAGAGAGGCTAAACAGATCAAACATCTGAAATTTGAAAAAGAAACGAACAGAAAAACAAATTAGTGAAAACAGATTTAAAAGGTGTTTTTAGCTGAAAGAGGCTAAAAAGAGAACAAGTTTAAATATGAGAAAGATGCAGAAAGTGCAAAATTTGGAAAGAATAAAGCAGAGAAAGGCTAAAATCAGCAGGAAAACACCTAAAAAAGTAGCTGAAAATGCAGAACTAAGCTGAGTTTAGCAGAAAGAAGCTGAAATGAGCTGAAAAAAGATTTTAAACAGCTCAAAGGCTTTGAAGGACGTGAAGAGAGCTCCATTCATTTTAAAACATGGCCAACAGAGCTAAATATTTCAAAAAGTAAAAGCTGCACCAAAACCCCCAGCAGGAACATCTCGAACGAGCCGAACGTTTTGATTAGGCGTGCACCGACTTATCAGCCCCAATTTCATTAATTTTGGGAAATCGGACGATACTTGCATGAGAAATCAATTTTACAGATTTAGTTTTAACAACAATTGTCTGAACTTGGTTTATATTTCAAAGCACGACCTCATGGCCAGTTTTAACAAGTTTGTATTGTTTCTAGGATGTTGTTCAAGGGCATGATTTTCAATAAAATAAGAACTGAAGGTGCGTTGTGACCTCAGAACACCTGACAGTGTCGCTTATAAAACAAAAGCTGTATCGACAGGTCAGACTTTTTAGAAATCGGTGTTCTGCGATCAGTGCACCCCTGTTTTGATGCACGAACTGATGAAACAGCTCGAGCGATGAGCTGAAGGCGGCATCGACAGTGAAGACGATTCAGAGGCGTTCAGAGAGCGATGGTTGCGGGCGAGCTCAGCTTCAGCGCCGACCCGCCAACAGAAATATAACCATCGGCTGACAGACTCCGTGAGAGAGTGGGGAAAACAAAAGTCACATAGCAGGAGCCTTTCCACTTCTGCTAACTCAGCTCTAATAATTAAACTTTAAGAGATTTTATTTTCCTCCAAACGCACAAAGTTCTCCCTGTGACAGCCCCAGAGAGAATGTGCGAGCTGCAAAGGATGCTGGGAAGTCTTGTGGAAACGACGTGTGCAATGTTTCTGCGTACGATGTTGTCCCGTGGAGCGGGGGCTGCCGTTTGGCCTCGTTTTGTGCCGGTCAACATTTTAACGTCCGTCTTTCACGTTTTCTCGAGCGTACAGAGAACGACGCCTAAACGATGCACGAGCGTAGCTCACGCTGTGTGAACGTGTGCTGTAACGAAACATTTACATTAGAGCTTGTTAAAATACAACAATAAACCCAGAGCGCACGTCTTTCACAGTTTCAGTTGAGTCGATAGTTTTTCTGTTTGCTTGTGTGTGTCGTGCACAGCACTTGACCAACGGTGCCGTTTTATAAGTCAGAGTCAGAGTTTCTTTATTGTCATTCCACCTCATGTGGTACATGTGGTGGAGCGAAATTATGTCCACAGGGTCCCAGTTACATCCAACAATAAAATGTATAAGAAAAACAGTAATAACATCTAAGATATGAACTAAGAAAAACATCAACTAAATATACACTAAGCACTCATAACATAAAACATTGAACATCAGCACAAACATGAACATGAGTTCATTATAAACATGAGTTCTTTATAAATAAAGTTAAAGTGCTCACTCCGTGTACAGATCCTCAACCATGGCCACGATGATGACGATGAGGGACACGGAGAAGATCTGGCAGCCAGAGCCGATGAGCGAAGAGAAGATCAGAGGATGGCTGGAAGGCCTGAAGACGTCTCCATGAACCTGCTTCCATCCATATTCATCACCCAAGTCTCTGTCCTGTGGAAACAAACAAAACTAATTATACAGAAACCCAAGAAACAAGTCCAAGCCAACGAGAACCCACCATGTCGTCCATTTCTTCCTCTTTACTGTATCTGGCGTAATCTTTTCTTAGGGTCCTCATGAGGATCATGGACACCAGACCCACCAGGAAAATGACCATCATGAAGGAGTTGAAGATGGAGAACCAATGTATCTACAAAGAAAAATTAATCACCAAAATAGACCAAAACACTGCAACAACAAATTATTCTCTGTTTGGACATGAACTCATTATTAATCGTTTAAAATATAATTTTATTTTCATTTTTCAAAGAGCAGAAACAGGTTCTCCCACAGAAGGAGAGGAAACATCAGCGAAGCTCTGGATGGCTGATGAACCACATTAAAGAAAAGCTCTTGCACCTTCTGAAGCTCCACGGACACAAATCAAAGACTTGGACTCACTCTGTGCTGAAAGAAGGACGGGTCCAGGTACTTGTCAAACCGGTCCTCAAACTTGACATCAGACTTCTTCCATTTTACCTGTCCGCAGAAAACAAAACGTTCAGGTGTGTTTGCACTGCTCACGTCATGAACGAGACGGTTATTCGTGCGTTTCGTAGAAGAAGAACTCACGGAGTAAGACATGGTAATCCTGGTGTTTGACATGAGTTTGACTTTCCCCTCGCTCGTCAGATTCACGTCAACGATCCGGTTGCCGTTGAATCCGATCTCCAGCTTCTTGTACGTCCACAGGTAATGCTCCTCTCCGTTCTCATCCGCCTCGCCGACAATCCCTTCAGGAAGTTCACATGCACGGAGGTGAACACGTGGCTCCGTGAGGATATTTCAACCCACAAACATTACGCGTCAGTTTAATCTGTTGGAGTCATGTTTTTAATGTAAACTACTGAGCAAAGTTCATTCTGTGCTCCGAGTAAATATGTTCAATGAACAACGGAGACCACATGGATCTGTGACGTGAACAGTAAAATAATTTGATTTATGTTTCGTCTGCAGCCGTTTGAACTAAAGGAGATTAACAGAAGATCCAAGGACGGTTTGACCCTTCAGTAATGTCACTTTGCTCCCAGCTGCAGAAAGATAAAGAGCTACAGGGAAACATTTATGATGCACTTTCAGAGCATACATTCAACAAAACCGTTTTCCTCACACAAACCCAGGGAGGCGGCAGAAGTGACAGAGACACCGAGCGCACAAGACAACCAACCTCAAATGTCTGCTAGTAAAGAAAAATACATTTTAGTGAATAATTTAATCTAATCTTACGTAACAGATATGATGCTTCAGTGACCTTCCTGACAAATCCAAAGGAAAGATTCATTTATTCCAAGTAGAGAAAATGCATTTCCTGCGAAAATGCATAAGAACTTGCTGAAAAAAACAGCTGCAATTAGCTAAACACATGCTGAAATTTAGCTGAAATGGAAGAACAACCCTAAGTTACCAGAAGAAAGCAAAAGGAACACCCATTTACTGAATTAGGTTTAAATAAGCAGAGCACACAAATTAGGAAATTAGCTAAAAAATGACTGAAATTAGCAAAGAAATGGCTGAAAAGTCAGAAAGAAGCTTAAACTACCAAAAGGAAGTGGTAGGAGCTGAAATGGGAAAAAAAAAAAAAAAAAGAGAAGCTAAATTCAGAACAAAAACAGCTAAATAGTAACTGAAATAGCAGAAAAAAGCTGAAAGGCACGTAACCTGAAATTAGAATAAAGAAGTTAATTAGGCTAAAAGTAGTAGAAATCATGAAAAAATTTGAATTTATCCGAAAACAGCTGAAATGAGGTAAACCATGCTGAAACATAGCTGCTGAAAATGTAGAACAAGCTTACAAGAACAAGCAGAAGAAAGCAGAAAGAACACATTTGCTGAAGAAAAAAAAAAGCAGAAATGACCCAAAAAAATAAAATAAAATTAAAAAAAAACCATCCGAAAAGTAGCTACAAAGGCAGAAAGAAGGTTAAATTACCAGGACGAAGTGGAGAAAGCATGTTTGCTGATTTAGGCTGAAAAAAGTTGAAATGAGTGCATTTTTTTAATTAGCTGAAAAAGCTCAAATTAGCATAAAACAGCTATATAGTAGCTGAAATAGCAGAAAAAGCTGAAACAGAAATAAGCTGAAAGGAGCATAACAAGCTGAAATTAGCAAAAAGAATCAGAAAGAAGCACAAAACAGCTGAAAAAAACAACTGAAAGTAGCTGATAAAATGTAAATTTGCACAAAGAAGTCGAAAACAGCTGAAGCAGAACAAAATGTGAAAGGAGCAGTAAAAGGCTGTAAACAGATCTAAATAATAGAAAATGAGCTCAATTCATTTTCTGAGAAAAAAAAATGTCAGAAAAGGCTAAATATTTCAAAAAGCTAAAGTTGCACCAATACCAGACGTCATTACAGGATTGTCCTGAAAGAGCCGAGCGTTTTGATTCATGATTTGTTGAAATAGAACAAAACTTGTGGAACAAGGAAGATGCTGAAAAATGTACGGAAGGAAACGATCACAACAGAGTGAATGATAAATATTCACCCTGTTGTTCTACAAACACTCAGAACTGTGTTAATATCCACCTTTAACATCCTGCTGCACACACACACCTGCTGCACACACACACACACACCCACACACACACA